TTGCCGTTTTTTTTGAAAATTATAGTTTTAGCCCCTTTCGGTCATATCACCCTCCCCGTCGACTACTTATTCGCGTTCCCTGCTATATTTATAGCCACAGACGAGTCCCGGGGTGGAGTAGTGTGTCGGAAACGAGAGTAGGTACCGCGTAGGTATCGCTATATACAGGCATATATACGCATGTATATACATGCGCCTCGAGGTTCGATTTTTTTCGCAAATCTCGCGTTTTGAACGTCCGAAGGTGGCGGACACGGTGGTCCGCTCAAACGCCCTTAAGAGTCATAGATTTGACTCCTAATTTCATCTCGGTAGGTGGCTAGGTAGGTTAGGCGTTAAAACGGGTGATTCGACGGTCGTGGTTTCGAACGCCGGCGGGCCGTGTTAAATCGAATTTCTTTTTTTTGCGTTTTTTTTTTCGTCACATTTATCATTTTTAACGAAAGTGTTAATTTTTTTTTTAAATTTGCATTATTATATTATATATATTATTATTATTCGTTTGACGATATTTATTGGGCAAAAAATAATTAAAATTAACATTTACCGACGCACCTACATGTTTCTTTTAATAATACATTATAATATAACTAACCTAGGTGTAGTACCTACTTGATATATTACAGTTTTTACGTGATTCCGATTTGGTTAAATACTGCTACAGATTATAAATACTATATTAAAAAATAGTACGACTGTAATATGACTGCTTCATTTGCCGTTTTTTTCGAAAATTCGAGTCCCGGGGTGGAGTAGTGTGTCGGAAACGAGAGTATGTATAATGTATTCATTTATAGATACCTACGTTTAATAGGATAGTATTACATTTCAATAAAATTTGTTATTCACCAATATAATTATCTATTTGTTAATTTGACTTAATTCTCATAATTAAATAAATATACAAGGTAGGTATATTTTAGAAAATATCCAATCAGAAAATTAGATTTTGTCGACTTATTTGTTATAACCGCGAAAACATAACAATGATTACATTGATTACAGTGAAGCCTAACATAAAACACCTGATAACTGTTCTCTATAATTATCAACAAATACAATTTTATTACCTCCTGTATACTTTTTCATATTTGAACGGCCGTTTCGAGCACTTTTCGCTGTAGGCGGATTGTCCGTTCGGGAATCGGATTTCACCCGAGATGACTGATAACTAGACACTCAAACTCAGAATCCGAATTTCCGATTTCAACACACACACACCAGAACCGGACATACACGCCCGGTGCATGGTCTGCGATCCGACGTAGTCGGATTGCCTACCTGACTAGCTACTTGCATACGAGCGACTTACACCCCCACTGCATCCGATCCGCCACAGGTGGATTGTCCGTTCGGGAATCGACTTTCATCCGAGATGACTGATAGCTAGACATTCAAACTCAGAATTCGAATTTCCGATTTCAACACACATACGAGAACCGGACACACACGCCTGGTGCATGGTCTGCGATCCGACGTAGTCGGATTGCCTACCTGACTAGCTACTTCCATACGAGCGACTTACACCCCCACTGCATCTGACACTCGGGAATCGACTTTCACCCGAGATGACTGATAGCTAGATACTCAAACTCAGAATCCGAATTTCCGATTTCAACACACATACGAGAACCGGACATACACGCCCGGTGCATGGTCTGCGATCCGACGTAGTCGGATTGCCTACCTGGCTGGCTGTGTCGTACGATCGACTTGAATCACGTGACTTACGACTAGACACTCTTCCGAGTTCAAAAATTACCGCTTAACCAGTGCTGCCAACACGACAAAACACAATAACCGACGACCCCCCATTCCCGCCGCAGGCTGGATCAAAAAACCCAGCATCGCCGACAAAGATGCACCACCGCCCACACAGTCTTTCCGCCGTAGGCGGGATGACAAACACCGGAATCTAGTTAATATAAATAATATATTAATACTGATGACGAGTATATAAATAAATTGTTTTACACACTTCCCCCAAATTATTAATGCGTTAGACGGCGTATTGTATAGGCAAAATAGGTTTGCCATGTTCCCCTGCCATTTTTATTTTTCATTTATTCAACTCTAGATGATTATTTTATATAGAAATTGTTGAAGCATTGACCACTAGGTGGCCTCTGTAGTCTGTATGGTAACACTTATGTTATGACCCATAAAACTGCACATCGCGTAAAGCCCCGAAAGGTAAGTCGGTAGAACAGTCTTTGTAAAATTGAAGCTAAATAAAATAATATTTTGAGAATAGGGTGACACTTTAACGTGCGTGAAGTTGGCCCTCCAACATTGTCTGATCGACTCCGGACTAATGCCAATATTTTATAACTCATTTGCAACTATCTGAATTATACTTTTCATAATTTGTAACTTCTTACTTTAGCGAGCGAAATATTTTTTTTTGATAGGTGGCCACTGGCCAGCCTCCCAACTTGGTTTGATCGATCAGTTCCAACGCTACTGTTCTGGAACAATTTGATTTGTTTTATCAAAATATAAAGATTTTTCTATTAAATATAGATTTTTTTATCAAATTAAGTTTTTTAATTTTTAATTTTTTTTTTTTTGTGTTTGTCATCACCTTTTAGGACAGTAAAAGTGCTTGGATTTTCTTCAACAGTATCTTTTCTGATAGGAAAGTGAATTTAGTTGATACTTTGGGAGGTCAAAAGTAAAAATTTCCCAGTAGTTTTAAAAAGCGGAGTGAAAAACAAAAGAAAAATTAAGGAAAAACGGGAATTTTTACTCAAAATCTGTTTTCGAGAAAATCGATTTTGGTTTTTGGTGTAACTTTAAAACAAATGACCGTAGATACATGAAGTTTTTACTGACTGTTTATATAAGCATTTTCTATACACGGTGCCTTTTTTAAAATATTTTGAGCTGTTTAGGGACATTTTCAGTTTCCAATTTTTTTAGTTTTTTATTCTATAAATATTAATAAAATTTTACTGGTTGGTTAAAAAAGCTTGAAAATTTAATAGAGTACTTCTAGTATATTGTTTCAAAGGCAGATGAAAAATATTTAAAAGCCTTGGTCGCAGTTTTTTTTAAAAGCATTTAAAGTCCAAAAATTGACAAAATATAGAAAAATCACGAAAATTAGCTAATTATTTTGAGTTAAGAATTCGTACAACTTTTTCTTTTTAAATCTAAGAATTTAAAATGTAATACAAGATTCCTTATAAGATTATCTACCTTTATCAAAAAAAAAAAAGTCCATAAGAAAGTCAAATTAAATTTTTATGAGCGTCTGAAATTCAAATTTTTACAACAATGGATATTCACTCGATTTTTCATGCAGTGATTTTCTTATTTTGATGTAATTTGAAAACGAATAACTGTAGATACATGAAAATGTCATTGAATGTTTATTTTATCAATTCTTAGACTTGATAAAATTTTCAAAATTTTTTGACTCTTTTTGAGATGGTTACGGACAATTTCATATTTCAATTTTTTTTTTTTTCTTATGAATATCATAAAGTTTTATCTGTTGGGCCAAAAAGTGTAAAAATTTAATACAAGGCGCCTGATATATTGTTACAATATCAGTTGACAAATATTAAAAATACATCTGCACAATTTTTTTTTATAAGCATTTAAAGATCGAATTTTGACAAAAGTTATCAAATTTTAAAATTGAATAATTATTTTGTAGTTAAAAGTTTATAAAATGTTCATTTTTTATATCTAAGGTTTGAAAATTTAAAACAAGATTCACGATACTAGTCAATTCTGTGTCCAAAAATCTAAAAAATACATAAACACAGTTTATTTTTATAGTCATTTTAAGTTTAAATTTGGACGAAATTACATAATAAAAAACCTAGAATAACTATTTTAGTTATTGTGTTGCGATTGTATTATATTATTCGTGGGTACCTACTTGAAACTTCTAAAGTACACTAATACACTATTATATATCTATGATAGTATCAGGGTTTGTTGTTGATATATAAAGCGTTGTAAGACATAATACCTAATGTATATTGTGATATGATTAATTTGGAATTTATTATAGGTAAATATTATAGGTCAATATTTTTTAAAATACCATAGATATGTGTATAATAATATATAGTAATATTTTTAGTGCATATTAGTGGCATTATAAGTTGAAATTTGTTTAGTATGGTGATGTATGGTTATGTTTAAACACTTCAATATTCACAAAACAGAATCTAAATTTTAATTTTTAGTAAATACTGAAAAATCATGATATTTAAAATACTGTTCAAAATTAAAAAAAGCATTATAATATAATGGTATTTGTATTCAAATTTACTACACTACCATCTTCTGATAAAAATTGTACAAATACAAATACAAATTAGTTCTTACGTATAATATTACAAACTATCATAATGTACCTACAATACAAATTAGAAAATGTTTTATAGTTTAACACTTATTATTAATTATAGGTAATTGATACAATATAAGAATATAAGAATATGAACTCTAACATTAAAATATTGTAAATTGTTATGTTATACCTACAACTGTATTATAAATTATTTAAAAATAAATGGTACCTTCTACTTTCATATTACATGAAACATAAAACATTTCAAGTACATTTTAATTTTTGAAATTATATTTTAGTCAAGTAAAATTAAAACATAATATTACTTACAACACTTAAAACATTTAATGAGAAAAAAATTGCTTACAGCTAGCAAGTAAATCATTTATACCATAATATAATATTATAATGTTTATTCATTAATTTTACCTACTATTGTAATAACTTAGTAACTACATTTAAATAGTAGTATTTAAAATTTTTTTTTTAATAACCAGTTCTACATTCATATTATAGACAAAGTATTAAATCCAAAAAACCCTAAAAAATATACAGCAATTATACATTTTTATGAATGCATCAAATAAGTTTATATTTAAGTTTAGTTTATTAATAAATTATGAACATATTTTGAATGTACTTGTATAGTGTAAAAAGTAAAAAAAAAAAATACATATTAATAAAATATTTATGACTCAGTAATGAGACAAATTTGTTCTATTTCTCTCATCAGCTTTAATGCTTTTGTAGATGCGTCATAACGATTAACTGATTTTATCCGCTCATCTTCAATATCTTTGGATTCAAGTAACAATTCTGCCATATTAAGATTACTTGATTTGTACACTTTGGTGATTAAATCTTTATGAAAGTTATCTTTTATCTTGTTTACCATTTCGTACATAATTGTCTTGGGCACCGTATCTTGAATTATTTTTTTAATAACCACAAAGTAACATTTTATAAATAATGTGAGTAAACCAGCTCTACTTTCTAATATAAGTTTATCAGAATCAGGAAAACCACTGAAAGCACATGTTGTTATTTTCTCAACAGTTTTGCGCATTTTTAGTGTTATGCTCTTCGGCCATGATTTAATTTCATTTTTATGTGAGAGCATCTCTTCTTGACTATTGTAGTAGTTTGGTAATTCGGCAAACCCTTCTTCCCGAGCTTCTTCCTCAAATTTGCCTAATTTACCCATATTGGCTGGCTTCTCAAAAAGCTCATGATATTCATTGGACTTTGTTATGGATTCAATAAAATCAACGTGATCGGTATTCACGTATGCCTTCTGGTATTCAATTAATTTACTTACTGCTTCTGATGATTTTAGCTTGTACCTAGCCAATGATTCTAATAATATTTCATTAACTTTTTCAAAAAGTCTAGGATATTTTTTTAACTTGTAACTAATGTCATCATCAAGTCTGCATATGTTTGTTGCTAACTCATCATGTACAGTAGTGACACATGCTAATGACGGAGCTTCTAACAATTGTATTTGTTTCTTTACCAAATGATCAAATGCATCAGTTGGCATAAAAACGCCCATGTTTGTTCCAGATGCATTATTGATAACATTAATAATAATGTCAGCAGATAAGCCTTGAAGTGGATCAATTTCATTAATATCTTTATTAAAATTGGTTTTGAAATATTTTGCAATGGTCGCACCACCATTAAGGCCTTTAAAACTCAAATCAGCTCGGCCATCCAAACCAGCTTTGTAACTAGCTGCAGTCTGGGTGATCAAATCAAGTAAGGAACGATCATAGTTTTCAGTAAATTCTTTATATTTCTTCACTTCATGTTCGTACTTATTGTTCATTTCATATAGTTGGGCTCTTAGTTTTGGACAGGTCTCTTTTATTTTTTCTATCAAGAGGAATTCAAGTCGTTTCCCTAAAACAACCGAGCCATGGATTTGTGCTATATCGGGATAAAATTTATCAAAAAATGCTTTTTCGTCCTTGAGAGAATGTTCAATAGTTTTTTGATCGTTTATATCTTTTTGCGAACGATTTATGACACCGATTATTCCAAGTTTAACTGGAATAACTTCTCCAGAAAGTAACTCTGTAGCGTCAGTCCCAGCGTCCATTATATCTATCTTAGTAACAACCGCTATTGTACGATCACCATTTGGGTCCACAGATTTTGCAATGTGCAAGCTCTCACTAGTGGCTGGGTCAGTATTTGCTGTAACTACAGCCAATATTATTGAATTTGGGTTTTTAATAAAATTTAATACTAAATCCCTTATTTTCTGTTCTATGTCTTGGGGTTGGCCACTAACAGGCACTTTAGTAAGGCCTGGAAGATCAACAAAACTCAAATTATAAAATTGCTTAGAATAAATGTTTAACACAATAGGTGAATCAGTAATATTCTTCTGGCCTCCGGTAAGTACTTCTGTTTGAGTTTCAATTTCTTTTCTAACTTTATTAAAATCATTAAAAATAACACCTGGTTTATGCAGAAATGTGGCATAATCTTTTGATTTCTTGGAATCGCCATTTCCAGTTTCACATTCGGTTGGATGTATTAGATGTAACACTAAAGGTGCTCGTGTCACTATACCTGTGCCTCTTGGTAAAAATGATTTGCCCACCAAACTTTCTAAGACACTACTCTTTCCAGAGCTTTGTGAGCCTACCACAATGATCTGTGGAAGGTCAACTTTTTGTTTTGAACCAACAGTTGCAAAAACGTCTTGTAGTTTGTTCATAACCATAATTAAAGATTCCATATTGAAATTTTTTAGGTAGGCAAGTATAGTCTGTAAAATAATTAAATCAAATCATAAAAGTTATACTCAGTATGCTACAGTGTAAAATAATAATAATTATGTCTTAAAATTGTTTGTGTAATTTAAAATAGAATTGTTCAATAACGTGCAAATTGTATTACATGCACTTCAAAAATAATGTTTTGATTGAAAAATTATTTATTTTTATTGTTTTTCTAATTAATAATTTGTTATCATTTACAAATGTTAAGGAATAAAAATTTCAAAGCTAAAGCACTATTTTCTTTTAAAATATATGTTACTTTTCTGAAATAATTCATTATTATTTATACATTTTAAAATTATTTAAATTCATGTAAATTAAATAAGACGGATGACATTCAATTATAAACTAGATGTTAAAAATACATTTACAAAAACATTGTCAAATCAAATAATTGACTAATTTTAACAATTAATATTTTGTTGCAATTAGTGCAATAACAAAATTACTAAGTATTTGCATTTTGTAATTAATATAGAAAAATAAATTATAATTTTATGAAGGATTTTATGTTATATTAAGTTTAGCACAATATAAATTATTTCAATTAAAATTAAATGTATACCTAACTATTCATTTTTATTTTATGAGGGAAGCAAAAGGCACAAAAAAATAAGGAACATTAAGTCAAGTTATGTATTTATTCTGTGGTAATTTTTACCATTTAAGTGTTTTTCTAACTCTAAAACAATAACGACAAAACATAAAATATGCTTTTGTAATTAGTTATTTTACAAAATTGTCATAGAAAATTCAAAATTCTATCTTAATTTATAGAATATTATTTTTAGCAATAGTTTTAAATATTTGGACAGAAAAATATTCCTTATTACCATAAAGTGCTTGCATAAACCGCAAACCAACCGTTATTATTTTAAAAATAAATTATAAAACCGAAGAGATGGCTTATGCACATCAGTTTTTGAATTCAATAACATCAATAAATTATTAGACCTAGGTAGGTAAATATAAAAAAACAATTTTGGGTAAATGAAAAGGACAATTTAAACTTAAAACGCGCTATAAAATTGTGATGATAAATTTTCATTATTTTTAAATTGCTGTAAGAAGAGCTTTGGAGGGTCGATGGTCACTGCATCATATTTTTAAACCGTTAAAACTTATTTAAATTGAAAATTGTATAAAATTTTAAATAGTTACTAAATAATTTGTGTATTTTTGAGATTTTGAATACCTACGTATTAAACAAAAAAAAAAACTAAACCATTTTGTAAAATAAATACCTACCTATAATGAAAATTTAATAACTATAGATTAGTTTTAACAAAGTGATAAAAAAAATATTATTGCATTTTAATTTGTTTTACTTCCCCACCACCAGTTAATTATTACCCGATTTGAGTCCATGTTGCCTTTAAATTATAATAATATATTAGCATATTGTCCTTGTTCATGCAAAGCACATCAAGTCCAAAAATATGGTTTTTGAGAATCAGCTTTGGCAATTTTTTCAAATTTTAAAAGTTTGCCAAATGTAACCAAATTTTGTTTTTGTTTATTTTAATTGATTTTCTTCTAAGCAATGTACCTAGTTATTTATGAATGGTTTTAAATAATATGACACTGTGAAATTTATAATTCTTATTATAATTAAAATACAAATTACAAGGTTGGACTTAGTGACTTTTGCATTGTTTACATGGACTTAGTGTGTTTTGCATGTATGTAAGTGTTAAACACCTGGCACAACCTAAATGTATCAAAATCAATTAATTTCCATAAAACTAGTACATTCATAATAATATTATTATTATTTTAAATTACTATGTTATAATCAAAAATATATATACATATTTTTAAACAAAAATGTTTTTTTATTTATTTATTTTATTTTTAAAATTATATATAATAATTGTTTATAATAAATATTTATAATTTATGAATTTATGATAAAACCTAATCATTTAATTTTAACTGTTGGTTAATGGTTAAAATAATAATATTTTATGCGGTCAAAGTCTGGAGAGAGGCCGCCATCCCCCCACCTGGCATGGCAGAAACTTACGGGTGCCCAATCGAAATTCTGCAAACAAACACACGTGTTAAAAACTTACCGTTCCAACCACTACTACATAACCCTTCAAGCAAGCTAATAGACTAGTCGCTGGGCTTAAAAAATAAAAAATAAAAAAAATTTATAAATTAAAACTAAAAATGGACTTTATCGTTTTTACGTAGGTATAAGTTTAATACTCTATGAATTACCCCAAAATTATACTAATTCTATAAATTACCTACCAACGACTCATGCATAAGCATAACACATTCTTACAATGTCCGGTTAGAGTTAACCGGCCGAATTCTGCCGGTAATAAAATCTCTTATCAGTCGGTTATAAGATCTGTTATCAGTCGGTTTACGTTAACCGCACAGATATATAAAAATATAGACTATAGTAATACTATATACTATATACCTATATATAGGTACCAGTTTTATTTTAAATATTCGTATTCTTATTATATTAATTAATATACCAGTTTTGTTTTATTGATTTTAAATATAGGTTTTCAAAAATAATAAATGGATGTAAAATTTTTAATTAATTAATTCAGATTGTTTTTAAAAATATTTTACAATAGAACAAATTTTTATAAAATAATGTAATATTCACATGCACCATTACATAATTTACATAACTGTTGAATAAGCTAAAAGTTGATAATATGTATTTAAGACTTATGTAAGTAAGTTAAGTTATTAACATCATGAACTGATGAACTAACTATACAACTTTAAAGTTTAAACTTATAATTTATAATATTAATCATATTATGACAAATTAAATAACAATAATATCTTTATCAGTATTATGAAAATGTAAACATTCACCTCTTAGATAAGAGAATTTCGGCCATTTTGTTGGCTTCAAAAACATTTCCAAGTTATCTATCTAGTATTTTTATATATCTGTGGTTAACCGACACTTTACCGGACATTGTAAGAACGGCCCTAAGAGGACGTTGCCCCCGCGTCCCGCATGTGTCTCGCCGTCTTGCAAAATATGTACAACATAGCAAAAACTGTTTTGCGCGGGAAGAACCTAGAACGCTACAGCGTGATACCTAAAAAACGAAATTTTCACCACATAAAAAGGAGAACTTCGGCTGTGGAATATCGTTTTTATTTTTTCATTTTCGAAACTTCAAAAAAAGTTATTAAAGTTTGAAAAACTCAAATAATAATGGATTTTGAAACAATAAGAACTTTTTTCGTATAAGGGATATCCAAAAATATTAAAAACGATATTGCACAGCCAAAGTCCTCCTTTATATTATATGGCGAACATTTCGTTTCTTAGTTACGACTGTAACCTTCTCGGTTCTTTCCCGCGCCCAAAACGTTTTTGCTATGCCTTACGTGTGTAAGACGGAGACAACATAATATGCGGGTGCGACGTCCTCTGAAGTCCACGTGTATGCGTATTTAGGAAATTACCATAGACCTATAAACTATTGGACAGCGAATTCCACTCCGCCCTGCCATCAATGCACGGGAATCGTATAAGAGAAAGAAAGAAGGAAGAACGAAGAGAGAAAAGAGAGAAAAAACATAAAGCAGTAATCACATTATAGACCTATAAACTAACACTGTATTTCCCCCACGTTCTCTTTCCTCTTTTACTCTATATCGTACCCCCCGACCTCTCTCTCTGTCCATTAGTTTATAGATCAATGGAAACTATCGAATGGACTTGGTTAAAATGTTAAATTGTTTATTCGACAACTTTAAATAATATTGGGACTTGGTTGAATATAGCATTAATTTGTAGATATTTTTAAATTGAATTCCATACGATTCTACTTATTATAATATGTATAACTACCAACTACCTAATAATAAACCGAAAAAATCGATTATTGGACTAAGTGTGACGAACAGGGACGAATATTATTATGATCTAAGATGTTGACGCACAATTGCGTGACAATAACAAAATTAAAAAATATACTTACATCGGAGATCCGCCGGACGTGTGTAGACAATACTACCAAAACTAAAGAACAATTATTATTATTATAGGTTCGAGAAGACGAGTCGCAGTGTTCGGCGTTCACACGTCTTGTCACTTGTCAGCTCTCACCAGCACAGTCGTCACTCGTCAGTGGATACAATGTCAGTGATCGCCGATGGGCCATCAGGGCGATGGGACGAGAATAATATTATTATATTTTTATGTCGAGATTGTAATTATTCGGTTCCCCACCACGTGAATTTTTTTTTTTCGAACGATGTACAGTTTAGTGCTATATAAATATAATATAATATACGTAATTATTTCTAACACAGCCGATATTGTGCGTCTCGTCTCGTTTCAATTTACGCTGACTGCTGAGGAAGAGAGATAAAAATAATACATAAACACGAGCCCCCTCGGCCCTCGCCCCTCCGAGCCGAAGTATTATTATTCCGAGATTATATTATTATTATTATACTCTAGAACGTTTGTCGTCGGTCGTCGTAAAATACTGAAATGTAAACAACGCCGCGTCGTTGTATTATTCAATTTGTCGATATATAATAATAAAATATTATGATTTATCCATTTTCCACACGATAACGTTATGTGCGTTCGGGCCTTCGGGGTTCGGATGTCGCTGTAATAACTACAATAGTAATATAATATTTCTCGATAGAGTCCGCGTGTTGCTTGCATGAATCACGAGCATTATAATATTATTATAAAAAGATAAAAAGATATAGTTAATATTAAATATGTGGCATTAAAAATAACCGATAAGCCCCCCGATGGCCCGATGCCCCGATGTATTATAGATATGACATGTAACTCGGTACATTTAAATAATTGTATTATAATATCACCACCTTATAACTATAATATATTATAAATATTTTTTCTTGTTAAATTTTATTATGTACCTACGTGTGCATCATGTACATTATGTCGTCGATATCGAAATAATAATATAATGCC